AGTATGAAACGTACACAATTTGTATGAGTCCTCATCTAATTGAATTTGATAGAGATTCCTCTTTTAAATCAAAAACTGTTGAGAATTCCTTTCCTGAAAGTTTGGCACACACTTCATCCATTGTTGGGATGTGACATTTGCCACTACTGGTACAATGGATTTATTAGGTACTATCGAAATTGGTACAACGGCTCGCGAAATGATGAAATTTATTACATTCAGAACATTTTTGGCTGTGTGCTGGACATTCACCGTATGAATGCTCATAATTACACTTCCAAAATTTGTATACTTTACGAGTTTTAGAAGTGTCTTCAGCAGAACTTAGATTGGGTTGATAAAAAGATTTGTTAGAATACTTAAAACTATCTTTATGATGTGACGTATTACCCTGATGCGGCTGTTTGCTGGTTATGGCCTCCACCTGTGAAGCTGTGGCTTGTTGTTCTGCTTTGTTGATATGCAGCTTATTCGCTGCTTCCGTGCCGACCGTGAACTTTTTTTAGCTTTTTCCAACAATACATCCGAATGTCTTAAGAGATGCTCCTTCATGTTGCGGTGCACAACACCCATTAAAATTCTGTTTCTCAACATTTCATCCCTTAAAGTCCCGTACTCGCGAGTTGCAATAAGTTTCTTAAGATCCGATACGAAGTTATCGAACGATTCTGTCGGAAATTGATTCCTGGAGTTGAACTTGATTCTCCCTGCAGTTATATTTCTTTGGGGTTCAGCCCAAGCATCCGTCTTCTTTATGATTTCATCATAGTCATCAGACGTTTCTAGAAGCGACGCAATTATCCTCTTTCGGCCATCTGGACCAATGAGATTCCGTAGTTTAGCGGCTTTCACACCAGCAGGTGTCTCATCCCATTCCATGGAAATAGGGCTGCCGATTCGTGGGTATTTTAAACTCCGGTGGGTATTCGGTGGGTATAATGGGTAATTTGTGGGTAATCCAGGGACCGGTGGGTAATTTGTGGGTATTTTCTTCGTTACCAAAATCCAAATAAACAACCATAAAAAAATTAAAATTTGGCAGTAAACGGAGGGTGAACAGCGGGTTAACGGTGGGTGAAGTTGGGTGCTGTTGGAGGGTAAAGTTGAAGCTGGTGGGTAAAAGTGGGTAAAGCTGGAGTCAGTGGGGAAAGTGTGAGTAAAATTGGAACCGGTGGGTAATCGGTTAGGGGAAAAAATCCGGTGGGTAATCGGTTAGGGGGAAAAAATCCGGTGGGAAATCGTGGGCACAAAAGTGGGTAATCGGATCGGCAGCCCTGCATGGAAATTAGCAAGTCATTAAACTCACGTTTAAACTTTTTCCAGTCATCTGTAGTATTGCCTTCGACAGATAAAAAGCCCTGGTCTGTTATAGGCTTCCTAAACCTAACCTAAACTAACCTCGAATATGACTAGATCGGCGTTCACTGTTCACAAAAGGTATTCCCTGAATCAGTCCCGATTTCACTTCGCTTTCAAATAATAAGGCTTTCGGTAGGGTTTCACTGGCTTTCACTAATTAGGTTCTTTACTAACTGCGCCATGTTATAAAGTGTAAAAAGAGGAAAGTAACATCAACACGTGTGTACCGAGAGGCAACCACATTTACACATGAGTTTATGATGAGGCTTGTCCTTCATAAGGCAGCACTCCAAAAGAATGAACAAGAAAGCTGCGATTTTACCGAGTAAGAAGGAAAAATTTGTGCCCCGAGTGTTGTTTAGTGAAATTGACCCATCTTCAAAAGCGATGAACTCGCCAGACAACCCCTTGAGCTGAGTCTTGCCAAAACGAAACAAAAATTGCTACGACCTTATAGTTTGGCCCGACAACTTGTCATGCTTTCTAGTTACACCGCATAGCACAAGAGCCCAGAAATTTTCCACCATTGCCAAATTACAGCAAAATTACGGAATTTTTTGGATTCCCCCTCGTAACTACCCCCTCTTAAGATAGAGAGGCGCTTTCCCATATACTTTTTGTGGTCCGCTCGCGGACCACAAAGATATAGGGAAGATCCGCACAGAACGGATGTGTCCGCACGCTTGGGATTTCTGATGCAATGTGTGCAAGTGTAATGTCTTTTTCTTTCGATTGCAATAATCATGCCATGTTTGCAATATTTCCGCTAATTTTACGTCTGTTCTTCAATATTGATAGTTTCATGGACCTGCAAGGCTTCCTCACCTATGAATTGAGGATGAATTGTGATTTTCCTTTCTTTAGACATTTCGTTCAGGTCAGGAACAATTAGATATAATTTCACGGCTTCCTTGAAGGTTTGTCACTTTTCGCTGAGAATCCCATTTAAAGGTAGTTTTGCCAGGATGTTTAGGCTACTACCATGGTTGATCAGATATGAGAATTGGTTTAGTTCACACACTAGAGAATTAATTTTAATTCAAGCGAAGTTAACAGGAGTTAAAGGTGAGCACACATGATGTAGGATAACTAACAAGCTGTTATAAGATATGCAATATTCGCGAAACGTGAGCTTACGAGGGTCTTGCCGACTAATCGTGAGGTTAGGTCGTCGGCTATGGTTATGAAAGTCCACTTCACACGAGATCCCAATAAAGAGGGTCCCAAGTAGCAAAATAGAATTTTTTTATAGAAAAAAATATTGAGAAAATTTCTAGAAAAAAACAAAGAAAATGAGAGGTATCCAGAAAATAGAAAGAACAAACACTGCAAGTCAAAAGTCTGACCAAAGAAAATGGATCTATTTCAAAGGTCTACTTTCTGTCAACTTGCCATTTGGAAAAAAGATAGAAAATTTATTGAAAGTAGAATTATTTTCTAGCTAATTTCTTAATGTTTTCTTTTAAGAAAATGCAAGGAAAAGATATATTTTCTTTCTATTTTCTTGTGTTTATATTCTAGATCTACTTTATACATATTTTCTTTCAAGAAAATTGTTCTATCTAGAAAGTAGACATTTTCTTGATGAGCGCTACCTGTAAAGTAGATGACAACCCTGGTAAAAATGGCAAGTGTTAGGTCAGTGAATTTTCCACTGAGGTCAGTGCAATTTGCTCTGAGGTCAGTTCAGTTTTCTCTGACGTAAGTGTTAAATCACTTACCCAAGAAGTCAGCACTGAGGTAAGAGGCACTGACGTCGGGAGAAAGACTTACCTAAGTGCAGAGATGTCTCTGAGGTAAGCGGGACTGAGGTCAGGACTTGGTTCAGAGGGTAAGTCTCTGACATCAATCTTAATCGAACCGCACTCACTCCCAAAAAGTAGAGATGGCTCCCCCTTCCCCCATCCTATTTCATTTTCGTGGGGGAATATTTCCTCGGGACACGGGGACCACAAACTTTATCTTTCAGAGAGGCATATTTTGTAGAAGGTGGGATTTTCTAAGAGGGAAGGAAAACTAGTTTAAGTAGCCACACTCTTGAATAATTTGTTTTACCCTCTTCGTTTAAGATGGCACTTAAATAATTAAAACACAACAAAAAATGAGATCGATAAAAATATTATCACCGCTAAAATATGTATTCAGATATATTTATTTAAGCATTATTATTTTTTTATAAAAAAAATAGTTTTAAATTTGGTTTTAATTTTTTTCAGTTTTAACTGTTTTTAAAATGTTTCAGTCTCAATTTTTTTTAAAATTTTCCTACTTTATTTTCAATTCTTTTCTAACTTTTTTACTCCTTTACTTTCAATTTTTGTATCTGCTAATTTATATTTTTTGTATAATTTCAACTTTCATTATTTTTTTTGCATCATTAGCTTTAATTTTGAATTTTAGTGCGATCCATTTTTTTTCAAAGAAACGTAACTTACAAAACTTCATTTACATGTTGATTGATTAAAAAAGAATAATAGAAAAATTAAGTATCGGATTCACATTCAAAGACAAAATCATCATTTGCTGGCAAAATTACCCCAATGGGGGCCCTGAAATGGTAAAATTACGCCCCTAACACGTACACGCGCAGGTAGTGTAGTGGTTCAATCGCTAGGACGATCACCGAAGTTAAGTTACGTCGGGCGTAGTTAGTACTTAGATTGGAGACCGCATGGGAACGAGCGATGTCCCCTGAAGATTGTGATACTTGCTTGGGATTGAAAACTCACAGCAGCCCTCCCTGATCGTCAAATAGTGACTTAACGTACCTGGCAGAACGGTAATTAACGAAATTTTTGCCTGTACAGTATTTCTGGGAGTTTCCACTCCGCTTACGTCTGAGACACTTAGGTCAGTGCCACTTACATCAGAGGCACTTGCCTTTGGAACAGACCTAACACTGAGGTAGCAGATCAGCGCCCGGCAGCACTGACATCAGTGCTTAGGTCTGTTCCAAAGGCAAGTGCTACTGATCTGAGCACTTGCCATTTTTACCAGGGAATGCTACTTGGGGTTAGAGTAGGTAAACTTTAAAAGGCACGAAATTATTAGGTACTGAAGAGATACAACTGCACCATGTAATAGAGCACTTTTCGCAAATTTGATGGAAAGTATGGTTTATTCGAGATGAAAAAAAGCATCTGCTACGGTTTCATACAAAGTGAGGCTAGATCTCGACTGACCTGCATGGACCATGTTGCCAACTCGTCCACTACATCACATTGTGAATATTGTAATGGGGTCTCCTCATTTCTATTTGTAGTTCCCGCCATTAGGAGGGATGAGCGGATTCGTCAGCAGCTCTAGACTGGTGACCAATCGGGAGACAGTGATGCTCTCCTCTGATTGGTCATTGCTTCAGGCGGCCATTATTATGTTCTACGCTTTCTATGTGTGAGTAAATCGTGCTCGTGATTCGTCAAGAATTTTGTTACCTAAAACGAGAATGTGAGTAGGTAGTTACAGGGGGTGGTCCTTTGACCACCCTCATAAATTTCCCTTTTTGTTCGGAGCCGGTTGGTCGGTGGGGGAAAGTTTTCATTTGCAGATCCTCTCTTGCTGGTGTCCCTATTTCATATAAAACGAAAGGCTCATCTCAGTATCATTCATGAATAACCTGTTAAAATTATATAAGCACTCACCAGTGACAAGATCTGATGGATAGCTGGGTACCAATCTTTCTTCAGACGTGTTATCGCTTGAGAAATGCTTTCATTTGCGGACTTGTGAAAATCTGAGAGGTCCAATGCTGATTTGGACGCGTAAAATGTATTAACTTGAATCAATCTCAAGTCGCTGAGAAGAAAGCAGACCAACAAATTACGTTTTCACATTGAAATGCTAGTTGGATTATCCTCAAGCTCCAAGGAAAATATCGAAAACCAGTTTCATCAATCTGTAGGTACCAGCCTAGCTTTATCAGTATTTGGAGGATCTACCATAACAGCCAAAAGAGAGTGATTTTGGGAATGTATTGGAAGTAAATTCCTGAAATCTGCAGGCGGCGCAGCATAACTATCCTTCAATGATGTTGACAAAAAATAATCTACTGACGGTGGGCTCTTCGTGAGGTGCTGGTGGATGCCGTTTTAGCACATCTCCGTTGTACATGGTTATACTTAATCCACCAAAAACCCCAAAAAGGGTTAAAAGTCTCGCCTAGCCTATGAGATCTTGTCTCAAAGAATGTATCTAAAAATCTATACTATACAGCTACGAGTAAAATCTTGGAAGCACTATTTCTGACGAACTACCGGACCGAGAAGGAAGGAGATCTGTAATAGCTGTAGATGCGTGCAAAAAAATTATGAAACCCCGAACTTTTAATGTTGTAGAGCTTTTAAAGCTAATATGGTACTTATGTCCAATGTTAATAGAATGAGAGATATGTCGTTTCCGCTAGAAACGTGTAGGTGTGGGTGGGATTCTACCTGAGTGACTCGAATAAACAATAGAACAATGCTATAACTCTCGTGCAGGGCTAATGGGGATATCGCAACCTGAGCCGCCGCGCGCCGGGCCTAAGGTTTTTACTCCATTTTTCCCGTAATCCGATTTTATTTTTTTTAAGTAAGCATTTAAAAATAACTGTTGAAGTAGGTAACACAATAAATACCGGGTTTGGCCGATACTTACATTCTTCTGTCGCGAAACAGGGCACTATGGTCCGTTTCACCCGAAAAGTATTTTTCGCTTGAAACGGTATGTATACCAATTTTTCGAGTGTTCAAATTTGCATTGATGATGAGAAATTTGTCAAATAGCTTCTCTAAAAGATGAATAATCAAAGAATCATCAAATAATTATCCAACAGAGATGGGGATAACTTGGGTACCTCTCACATTATACGAATAATAATATGTAGAAGCGGAACTGCGACCGTGCAAGGCCCTATCACGGCGGCTCAGCGGTCCCACAAGATGAAATGTGTTCATTATGACTTCTCCTCCTAAAAAAGAGCTTTCATTTGATAAATACACTTTTTTCATTGAGCACTTTTCATCGTCCAAAAAGCTTGTTACAAAGCGTGCTATAACAATCTTGGGGTAAATTGATAAGGAGGTGTTGGAGCATGGGTACTTTGTTACCTACTGTCTTCGGGAGGGTAGGTATGCCAGTCTTTTACAAACGCGTGTAGCAGATTTTCTTTGTCATAAAACTTGATTTTCGTGGAGTTACAGGGACATGATGGATTTGAAACGCTAAATAGGAATAGACAACCAACGGACTCGACGTGACCTACATGATGGTTAAATTCCTAATAAAAGAACGCAGAGGTAGGTATCCCGAGCTCGGCAAGGACGACCCTATTAAGGCAAATCTGTACGCTGCATTTTTCTGTGTACTAACCGAACAATTTGATTAAGTATGACAAATATATCTAATTGCTTTTCCTCTTTCAGAAATAATTAACATTATCTGAAAAAAGAGTCAATGGAGGAAAAATAAATTTGACATACTCGTACTACATTACCTGAACTGCTTGTGCCACAATTGGTGCAGATATACCATGACAGAATTAGAGATGAAAAGATTTTTACTGATGACTTGCTTGGCTTGATCGAATTCGATTCTCGCCGATTTGTTAAAACTTTCCACCTGCTTTCCATCATTTTTTGTGATTGAGTCTTTCATCAAAAATTTAAAATCATCCAAGACAAAGTCTACAATCCCTTTCTTGATGGCCACTTGGAAATCTTCCTGGGTAAAAAATAACAAAGGAATAGAGAGATAAGCGCAGCGGAAAATAATGTAAAAAATGAAACAGGCAATGGAGATGTTGCATGTGTGAAGAATTTGCGATTTGACTACCCATTGATTCTTATGTAAAAGTTCGCGAGAAACACGATAGCGCAACTAGTTTTCCCTGAAATCAACTGCCAAGCTCAAAAAAGCTCTCAAAGTTAAGGGCGTAATACAGGGGACCGGATATCTATCCCACGCTATCCTGAGAGTCCACCCCTACATCAAGACAAACTGCCCATGCAAATACAGGGTGAGCGAAAAGTCCCCGACCCCCCCTCTAACTTTTGAACGAATTGAGCTAGGGAAATGAAACTTTGGGAATGTTCCTATCTCAAAGGGGACCATCTTTTAAGGGGGTCAAAATTTTGGTCCCCCCCTCAGGGGGGACAGGGGCCCCCCAACTTTTTTTTCAAATAGCAAACCCTATCTTGTGATACCTCATTCGAAAGAACATAAAAAACTAAGAATTTTGGCGCAAACCGCAGATCAATATCTTAATTTTTGACCGAGTTATGATAAGTCAAAGGTCAAATTTGACCTATTTTCAAAAAATTTTAACTCCGGTTCAAATTATCGTAAAGAAAAAAATAAAACGGGAAAATTTACAAAATCGTGTTCACTTTTACGTAAAAATTTCAAAAATCACTTCGATTTAATTTTAAGGGGGGGCTCGGACCCCCAAATACGTCAATTCAAAGGTCATTCAATTTTCCCGCGAAATAAGCCAATTTCCGCTGGATTTGCCTCCACAATATCTCAGTAAGGTCAAAATCAGTTCAACATTACGTTGGCAAGTCCCCAAATTTCGGGAAAAGTTAAAAAAACGAAATTTAAGGTGATTAAATTTGACCGTTTAAATTTCGTTTTTTTAACTTTTCCCGAAATTTGGGGACTTGCCAACGTAATGTTGAACTGATTTTGACCTTACTGAGATATTGTGGAGGCAAATCCAGAGGAAATTGGCTTATTTCGCGGGAAAATTGAATGACCTTTGAATTGACGTATTTGGGGGTCCGAGCCCCCCCTTAAAATTAAATCGAAGTGATTTTTGAAATTTTCGCGTAAAAGCGAACACGATTTGGTAAATTTTCCCGTTTTATTTTTTTCTTTACGATAATTTGAACCGGAGTTAAAATTTTTTGAAAATAGGTCAAATTTGACCTTTGACTTATCATAACTCGGTCAAAAATTAAGATATTGATCTGCGGTTTGCGCCAAAATTCTTAGTTTTTTATGTTCTTTCGAATGAGGTATCACAAGATAGGGTTTGCTATTTGAAAAAAAAAAGTTGGGGGGCCCCTGTCCCCCCCTGAGGGGGGGACCAAAATTTTGACCCCCTTAAAAGATGGTCCCCTTTGAGATAGGAACATTCCCAAAGTTTCATTTCCCTAGCTCAATTCGTTCAAAAGTTAGAGGGGGGGTCGGGGACTTTTCGCTCACCCTGTATAGGGAGCATGAATGGGCTGTCACTTTATTTGGGGACTCTAAAACTGAAAACACGGCAACCCTGCTGATGTATTTGCTCCCTTTCTTTGCATGGAGAGCTTGTCTTGATGTAGCCGTGGGTGGACTCTCAGGATAGCGTTGGATATCCCTTCCATTACACCCTCAACTTTGAGAGCGTTTTTTGAGCTTGGGGTTTGATTTCAGAGCGAATCAGTGGAACCATCGTGTTTCTCGCAAATTTTTACGTAAGAATCAATAGTCAAATCGCAAATTCCACACACATGCAACATCTCCATTCAATCCTTCAGAGATCGTATTTTTGGATCCCTATTAGCAAAATAGGATCGAATGCAATGAAAGCCTACTGTAAAGATGCGCATCTTCATCTTCATCGTCATGTAAAAAAAGGTAGAAAATATCAAACGAAAAAGGGTTTCCTGCCTAAAAATTGTAAAGTTTAAAGGGAAGGATCGTGTGAATTTCATTCCTGTAAGTGTGATTATTTAGTATTTTCTGAAACAAAGTAGAAAGTTTGATGATTTTGAAAACACTCAGGTTTTGCGTTGGTTCCCTGCTGCTACCTCTGATCAAATCAGAGTGGTAATCAGGGCTGTCCTGAGAAATATATAGAGATTAGGCTAATCTTTACATTGGCGTCTTCCCCCCGCAGGTGAGTTTTAGGACGGATTTCTTACATGGCCGACGGGGCCCCGATAAACGTTTGAAATAGAAGCTTTTGGACCGCCCGTTTGCGTCCAGTCTGAGAAGAAAAAAGTTCATTTTCTTCCCGGGTATGTCGATGAACATTGAATCTCTCAGTCCGAATACGACCCAACTCAGGTTTTTTACGATGCTTATTTTTTTGCGTAGAAATGCTCCTTTTCTGGCGGTTACGCAGTTTTCATCGTTTCCTGGGAAAAGGTCATTTTTCTGATACGGGTCATTTTTGAACTTAGAGATTCAATTATGATTTTCTCGAATATTTAGTCATAGAAGACTGGAGTCGTGTTGGAATTATTAAATGAGTTGTTCCTCATGCCCCGAACTTAGAATGCCTCTACAAATCGAAGTATCTACGAGGTATTTCAAATGTGCGCTCCCCTAATTCACGTTTCTATTTAAGGGGCCTGGAGGAAAAGGCACGTAAGTGCAGGTCCTGCTATTTCGAGAAATACAAGTTTCAAGTTTTGAAATAATATTGATCATTATTGTAGAAAGAAAGTTCAAACAGACTTTTTGATGCTTACTTGGAAACAATAATACCTCAATTTAAAAAAAAAAAAAAAAAAAAAAAAAAAAAAAAAAAAAAAAAAA